GCCCGCCACAACGCCTGGCCATTTTTTGGTTGCAGCCGTCATTGTTGTTTGGAGGGCCCGGGCTGGGGATTCGAACCTGCCACCTTGGGTGTATGTGGCTGGCGCCTTAGCCGCTTGAGCCACAGGCGCCGAGCCTCGCACATGAATTCTAATAGTCAATGAGGAATGAGAACTAGACTCTTATTTTTTGTTTGTTTAAATACTAGAAAAAGTTTTTGAGAGGAAGAAAACTTAAGAGATTATTTATTTATTTAGTTTCTTCTGAATAGGGGACTGAATTTATTATTATTATTATTTTTTATTAAATCATAACTTTGTACATTGATGCATTTATGGGGTTCAGTGTGCTGCTTTGAAATACAAGGTGAAATGCTTAAGAGATCATTTAATTTAGCTTACTTTTTATATTTATTTATTTATTTAGTTAGAGACAGAGTCTCAAGCTGTCACCCTGGGTAGAGCACCATGGCATCATAGCTCACAGCAACCTTCGACTCTTGGGCTCAAGTGATCTTCTTGCCTCAGTTTTTCTATTTTTAGTAGAGACAGGGCTTTGCTTTTGGTCAGGCCAATCTTGAACTCGTGAGCTCAAGCTACCCACCCACTTCGGCTTCTCAGAGTACTAGGCTTACAGGCGTGAGCCATCACACCTGGCTCAGCTTACTTTTTGAAATAGATAATGAAATGGAGATGAAAAAGGGAAATTATCCATGTCATGGGGGCTACCAGTAACCAAAGGGTTGGTTCCCAATTCTTCACCCGATACCCTTTGCCTGTGCCAAACTGCTCCCCTCCCTTATTTCATTAGCTCTGTGCATGCATGTGTGTAAATAGCAAGGACCGTAATTATTTGTTTCCAGCATGCTTTCTCTGTATTCACCTTTGTCCTGGTCATCTTTTGATAGCTATCGATAAGTGTGCTCTTAACACTCACGGATGTGAGCACATCTGTGTGAATGATAGAACTGGCTCTTACCATTGTGAGTGCTATGAAGGTTACGTCCTGAATGAAGACAGGAAAACCTGCTCAGGTGAGTGGGGGAGGAGTCTTGACTATTGCTACTTGGCTATCTTCCTACCTATCCAGGGTTGGAAGAGTGGGTCACTGTCTAGGACTGGGGACTTGGTCTGTTTTCTTCTCTTGCCACCCTTGAGCTTTTCCTATGTCTCGGTCTTACCCAAAATGTTAGAAATGGTAACATACACCCGTCACAGCCCCAACATATAAATATGTTGCTCATTTCCTTCTGTGTACTCGACCTTAAACTAGACCTTTCCAAATGCTATGGATACTTTAGCAAGTTAAGATCACCTAGCACCCTTCAGAGATGTGTTCCTAACACAGGGAAAGACAGAACTTTGTAAGTGGAGGGACCTGGCTGACATCACCTTAACCAAGTGATCACAGTTAACATCACTGGTTATGACACAGAGTGACGTATGTCGCCTGATGTGATATACTGAGCGCAACAGTGCGTCTGTGGTATTATTAAAAATTGAGAATGAGGAAATGTTGGACAAACTCAAACTGAGAAGCATTTTCAGTTCACAGAATAATGTTCTAGGATTTTTCAGAAATGTCAGAATCATAAAAGATGAAGAAGGACTGAGGAAATGTCCCGGATTGGAGGAGACTAAGGAGACAGGACAGTGTAATGCAATGTGGCCGTCTGAACTGGATCCTGAACCAGAAAAGGGACATTAATGGAATAATCATCAAAATCTGGATGAAATCTGTAGATCAGTAAATCATATCATATCAGTGTTAATTTCCTGGGTTTATAGCATGTTATAGTTATATGTATGTGTAGCAGCCCATATAACCTATGGCTAGGAGGAGTGAGAGTTATAAGAAATATAGCTCAACACCTTGGTGAAAAAGGCATGGAGAGGGATTTAGCTCTTCTAAAAAGCATGAGAGAGCTCGTGAGATGAGAGCATTGGTGAATTGGCAGTCTCTACACCTGTGGTGTTGAGAGGCATGAGATCAGCCTTATATTAGGCTGGAGGAGAAGGCAGTCAGGAGTGAGCTCATTCTATTACAGACCACTCATTCTGACTCTGTCGCTTCTCCTGCCTGCAGAACGCCAGCACGGTGTCTCTCTGCTGAAGATCACTAAGCTCTGCTGAAGACTAAGATCTATCTTTCTAAGAAGACTGCTTTACTCTCTCAAAGACTATCTCTCTCTCTGTCTCCCTTCTGCTAAAGTAAATAGCCCTCACGCACCTAAGAGCGGTTGTTCCTGAGCGAGATAACAGCATAGCGGTCTGTGTCCAGAACACAGCTAGATAGGCAAGGTCTGGAGACCAACCAGTCCCAGGCCTGGTAAGTGGTGACCACGAAGGGACCACAAGATGTGTAAGTTCGCGTTTGGGCAAACAGCGTGAAGTGCAGGAACTCTTTGCACTGTTTCGTCAATGCTTTCCTAAGTCCGAAATTATCTCAAAATGTAAAGTTTAAAAATAAAAAATAGTTTTAAAACGTATCAGTACCTAGGAAAAGCACTAGAAAAAATCTAGGGTCTTAAGTTCGTATGCTGCTCTGAATCAGCTGGTCTCCCCTTGGCTTGTTTTCCTCATTCATAAAGTGAGAGAGGGCTGAACCAGGATGTCTTCAAACTATTTCTTCTAGTTCTATGCTTTTGTGAATCTGGTTTAATTAGCCACATGACAGTTGGTATTTCTCCGACATGGGATAAGCACACAGTGAAGCTAAAAGGAACGCTGAGTATTCATGAGAGGCTTAGATTATAAAAACCCAATACTGATGATTTTGAAAAGGAATTGGGGAAGGTCAGAGAATAATTATCATGTGTGTGAGATTTAATTTAACTCAGTTAACTTCTAGTTAGAACGAATAATGCCAATGGCTTCGAATAGTTTCTAATAAGTTTCCCCCTTGTACATTTCTAGCTGCAGATAAGATTTCTATCTATGGGTAATGAAACACTCTTCCACTTTTTGTTTCTTTTCTCCTGGACTTTCATTTGACAGCTGAAGACAAATGTGCTTTGGGTACCCACGGGTGTCAGCACCTTTGTGTGAATGACAGAAATGGGACCTATCACTGTGAGTGCTATGAGGGCTATGCTCTGAATGCAGATAAGAAAACATGTTCAGGTAAGGTCCACTCAACAAATTCTTTTATACTTGGCTCTTTCTGTGGCGGGGAAATGAACTTAAAATTCACCAAGAGAGAGGTTCTTAATGGTAACTTACAAGAGGGTAAGTGAGCTCACTGGATTTTGCAAACATAGATCACTTCAGAAAGTTACTGGGAAATAGGGAGGGAGTGGGGGATATGAGAAAAGCTAATTGAATGTAGGGTCATTATCCAGGAAAATTTTATAGCTCTGTACACTGCGGACTTTTAAGCAAATAGGAAACTTTAGAGGAAGTCAGTTGGACAGTTACTATTTGGTGTGATAGGCTGAACTGATCTTTTTCCAGTTAAAACTTGGCCTGGAACTTTTCTGTAGTGTTAATCTTAAAGCTGGCTCATTTTAGTAAAGGAAACTTTGTAAATGCTTGAATTAGACCCACACAAATCTTCCAGTAAGTCTGAAGCATGTCATTCCCTGACAGTTTCTAGATGATCACTCTTCGGTGAAATTGAGCCTTATACTTTGGCAAATGAGCCCAGGCCAGCATTGCTAATCCTCATTAATTTGATTTAAATCCACTGGCAGGACAGAGTGGCATTTATAAATGTAAAAACATTACTAAGAGAAATTCTGAGCTCCCAAGGTGGTGTTTAGCTCTGGCATATTGAATGTGTTTTGGATTTTATATATATTTTCTTCTCCCTGGAGGAGATATATTATGTGGTCTTGTCAAGATAGATGAAGGGAAATGGCATAGCCTCAGTTCCCTTTTTTTAAAAAAATGAAATCAGGGAAAGAGTACTGAGTGCCTACTTTGTTCCTAGAATGTCAGTCCAGACTCAGGATATAAAGAAGCAGAAGTTTCCACCCCTGAGCAACTTACAGCCTGCTGAACTGAAAACCAGCTCCTTAGAAAAGCAGAGGCTAAGCAGAGGGAGGGACAGCCAGAACTAAGGGTCAAAGAGGTTGGGTAGGTGGCATCAGGGGAAGACAAAGCCGTGGTGAAGTATATCATATCAAGAGAAGTGGAGGGGTCCTCTGGCAGGGACTGGCTTGCGCTGGTAGGACTAAGTCAGTCGGGTGGATAGGACTCATATGGCTGCACTTCTCAAACTGGTGTCATGTATCTCCTTTGGTACTTAAGCTGCCAGGAATATTGAGGACCCAAGAAAACAAAAGAAACAAATTTTCATTTAAAACTAACAGACATTATAGAGTAACATGAAGCAATTTATTGAAAAGATAAATCAAACACAAATTTCAGTTAAGGCAAACTACTCCAGGTGACATTCCCAGATGACGGTAGCCAACATTCTTCAGGGCCTACTTAGAGGTGATTCTAGGTGAGTTAGACACAGTAATGCCTTTGATCCTGGTAGCAACTTTAGGAGGAAACTGAGCACAGAGTATCAAGTAACTTGCCCGTGGTTGGCTAATAAGTAGCTGAGCAAGAGTTTGAACCCAGGTACTTATTCCAGTGGTTATGTAGACAGTCCAAACTTTTGGTGTCCTTGTGCCACACTAAAAGAAGAAGAGATGTTTTGGGCCACACATTAAAAATGTGAACACTAATGAAAGCTGACAGGCAAAAGTAAATAAATAAATAGTCTATGCATAATTTTCATGATATCTGCCACCACAGATAAGCAAGAAAGTCCTCACATAATCTGCATGTGGCCTGCAGACCATAGTTGGATACCCCTGCATGGTGGGAAAGTTAGTATTTATGTATTTTAAAGTAATAATGAATACTATTATAAAGGTAGGCTACCATGAGTCAGATTATCTCTAATAGACTACTTTTTCCTTGCTGTTGGTAGGAAGGCTTGTTGAATTGAATATGGAGATCCAGATCAGGGCTGGGGTCTGGAATCATGTTCAGCTATTATCTGTAGAGTGGGTGCTAAGCTAGGATAAGGGGAAAAAAAATGAAACACTCTGCTATTAGGCATTTTGCTGAAAAAAATCTAAATTATAGTGATGAAGGGGAATATCTATGATAAAGTTGGAAAGAAAGGTATTTTATGGATAGATTATTGAGGGCCTTGCAATTCATGCAAAGCTGTTGTATAAGCAAGAATGAGCCATGCAAAGTTCTTGAGTCTGGAATGACATTTAAGAGAGAGTTAAAGGGAAATAAATAAACTATTTTGGCTCTTGCAATGGAAGAGGAAGAACATGTGTCTCCTAGGAAGTGTTTCTGGGCTTATTAAAAAGTCATTGTTTTTGTTTGTCCTGGGCCAGTGTGGATACAGAACTAGTAAGGGCACTTTTCTCTGCTCTCTACTCAAATTTGGGTAAACTGCCTTGATCCTTGAAATGTTATGTGGTTGTGATAGTGAGTTCTTCACTATCTAATCATATATATCATCATTACTGATATTAACTTTCCATTATTTTTCTATCTGTGCGTGTGTGTGTTTGTGTGTGTGTGAGTGTGCGCAGTGTGTCTCCAGGTCAATGTTTTCTGTTTCACTTTGTAAGCTATCAAGGGCAGGCCCTTCAAGATAGTCCTTTGGGGACAGCATTACACTTAGCTCCATGTGCAATTAGGTCCCTAATAAATAATCTTTGGTGATGGCGATAATGATCCATGAATAGCTGATGCTGGAAGCATTGATAGTCATCCGGAAAGGCTGAAGGTAAGTTCTGGAATATAACCATGGCTCAGTGCCATAGGTAGAAGGAAAGAGAAATTACCCTCAGATATCTGAGAGATCAGAGGAAATGGAGTGTATGTGATAAAGGGTGAGTCTAAAGCAGTGGTTCTCAACCTTCCTAATGCTGCGGCCCTTTAATACAGTTCCTGTGGGCCACAACCCACAGGTTGAGAACTGCTGGTCCAAAGGGATGTGAAATATTGGGAAGGAAAACAGGCTTTCTCCTGCCACATGTGACTCGTTGCTGAAGGTTCATTCCCAACACCCAGTGCTCCGAATGGAAGCTTTTCTGCTTTGTTTGTGTTTGGTTTTCTATTTAACTAACGTGTAAATATTTTCTTTCCTGCACCATTTGCGGTCAGTCCGTAACAAGTGTGCCCTGGGCTCTCATGGGTGCCAGCACATTTGTGTGAGTGACGGGGTGGCGTCCTACCACTGTGATTGTTATCCTGGCCACACTCTGAACGAGGACAAGAAGACGTGTGCAGGTGAAGAGGAGCTCCTTAAGCCTATTGCGTTTGGCAGGAAAAATCTTTTAGGAGGAATTTTTCTCTGTGTCTAAAGTACAGGTTTGATTTTTTCTCCTTGGCAGAATTCGCCAGTCGTTCCCAGGTGTCTACAAAATAAGACAATTATACTCCATACTCCCCAGACAGCCTGCCCCCCATGATCTGATCCCATTCTCTTTTCTCGCCCTCTCTCTCCCTCTCGCTCTCACTCTCACTCGCCCACACGTGCTCTCTCTGTTTCCTAATTATAGTCTCCCTACATTTGGATTTTTGTATTATAGTAAAATATATAAAATAAAATTTACCATTTTCACCATTTTTAAGCAGTTTGGTGGCAGTAAGTACATTCACATCGTTGTGTAATTTTTCATCCTCCCCCACTAAAACTCTGAAACTGCCCACCACCCACTCCCCCAGAGCCTCTGCTAACTACTGTTCTCCTTCCTATTTTTTCGGCTACCTTTGCCCCAGTTTCACTCCCTTCCCCCAATCCTGTGGTGCAGCTTAGTGGGCTGTGTGCTGTCCCAGGAGCGTGCCCTGCCCTCGCCTGTTTCCACCTTTGCTGAGACCCTCCTTCCCCCATCACTTTTGCTTGTCAGAGCCCAAGAACTACCTCCTTGCCAACATTTGGTTTTGTTGAATTAAAGTTTTTCCCATCTAGAGGATGTTTCCCATTTCCTGGTTTCTAATGAGGTGAAGCATTTTTTCCTGTTTACTGGTCCCTGAGTTTAGTATTTGGAAATGATATTGATGTCCTTTTTGTATTTTTCTATTGGGTTATGTGTCTTTTTCTTCTTGATTCATAGAAACTCAACATTATAAATTCTTGTTTTTATGCTTTGCACATATCTACTCCTATCCTGTGTTTATCATTTTGCTTTTTAAATGCTGTCTCTTCAACAGTATTCATAGTTTTACACCCTGGGTTGGACAGCAGCTTTATTAATGTTTATTTTTATTATACTTCAAGTTACACGTGTTTTATAAATTATTTTGTGTGAATCAAATGTTACAAAAATCACATTTGTTTTTTAATTTCCAGGGTTAGCTCCATTTCCTCCCTTTCCACCAGTTTCCCGTATTCTTTCGTTGAACTCTGTCCTCTCTTTTAGCACAGGTCACCTGTGTCACAGTTACTTGGGTTTTGTCCTTCAATCATTCCTTCATCCATTCTCTCTCTCTCTCTATATATATGTAGCTCTGCTATGCTCTAAGCACTAGGTATACAGTTGTGAACATACATGTCTGATCTTTGATAACCATATGGGGGAAAAGATGAGTGAAGGCACATGAACAAGTTCACTAAGAGCTGTGCTGGAGAAGAGCGGGAGGGGGCCCAAGAAGGTCCCTCTGAGGAAGGAGCATTTAAGACTTGGGGATAAGCAGCAGTTAGGCTGAGACTGGGGTGCTGGGGAGAGGAGGGAGCACAGTGTAGAGTCCTAGGTGGCAGCTCACAAGTGGAGAGGACATGCCAGGCAGCTGGTGTGAGAGGGCATGGTCAGCTGGGAGGCAGGGAGAGTGGAGCATAAAACGGTTTGGAGAATCTGGCAGAGCCCAAATCATGCCAGTTGTCTGGGCCCAGGGAAAAGGGGTTTATATTTTATTTGATGGGCAAGGGGAAGCCATGGGAGGGTTCTGGGCAGTGGAGCAATATGATTGTTAGATTTTTATCTTTTAATTTATTTACTGTTGAGACAGAGCCTTAAGCTGTTGCCCTCAGTTGAGTGCTATAGCGTCACTGCTTACAGCAAGCTCCAACTCCTGGGCTTAAGCTGAGGAGGCTCTTGCCTCAGCCTCCTATGTAGCTGGGACTACAGGCGCCCGACACAACGCCCGGCTATGTTTTGGTTGTAGTTGTCATTGTTGTTTGGCAGGCCCGGGCTGGATTCGAACCCACCAGCTCTGGTGTAGGTGGCTGGCGCCTTAGCCCCTTGAGCTATAGGCACCAAGCCGGTTGTTAGATTGTTAAAAGTTGCTCCAGCTGCTCTACGAGGAGTGAGTTGGAGAGGATGAAGGGTGGAAAGGAGATCAGTTAGGAGGCTCTTGCCATGGTCACTTGGGCTAGGCTGGTGACAATGGTGATTAAAGTAAACTGATCAGACACATCAGAAGGTAGAGCAAACAGGGCTTGGTTAGAAATTGGATGTGAAGTCTGGGAAAGGGGAGGAATAGGGGTGCCTTCCAAACTTCAAACTTGAACAAATGAATGGGGTACCTTTACTCAGATAGAGAAGACTGAAGGAAGATCAGATTTGGGGGAGAAAAGTCAAGAGTTGAGTTTCAGATTCGTGCTTTTATGTTCCAGCAGATTGTAAGCCCAACCTCCAAGAGCAGTGATCTTGTCTGCATGTCTAGCATTTACCGTAGCCCCTGTCACATACTAAGTGCTCCGCAGATATGTATTTGTTCAAAAGTAAAGGATCAGTTTCTTAGGAAGGGTGAGGATAATAAGAAAAAGCTTGCTCTTAGAATTTAAGTAAGTCTAGGTGCTATCTCCCTAAGTGGTTTTTTTTTTTTCAGAAAAACCAATTTCAGACATTTTTTTCCTCTCCAAAGGTGGGGAATCCAGCATGATTTGTAACTGGGCTGTCGCCTCATTTTATTTGCTTAGCACTTACTTTATTGTTTCAGTGAGTATTCATGGAGATCCTGTTCTGTAGGTAGTATCAATGTAAAGTCCCGAGGAGGACACTGGAGACAAGTTCCAGGTAGAGTAGAGGGCAGTGTGAACATTACAAGAGAGCATAAAATAAATGTTACCTTCGGGGGGAAGGGGGTAGAGGGTAAATGCTGTGGATGTTTAGGAAAAAGAAGAGATCACTGAGAGGCTGAGAAATTGAGTAAGTCAGTACTAGGTGTATGAGTCTTCAGTCTGTGTAGACACAGACTTGTGATAATTCCTGGATAACTATGATATTTATGCACTGTCATTGTATGCAGCCATCGAAGAAGCGCGAAGACTTGTTTCCACTGAAGATGCTTGTGGATGTGAAGCCACGCTGGCATTCCAGGACAAGGTCAGCTCTTATCTCCAGAGACTGAATACCAAACATATCCTTTCTGGAAAGTTTTCTGCTTCTGCTTGAAGCAAACCTAGGTACTACAATTGAGCCAAGCGTTTTAGGGCATTTTACAGCAAGTGCCTCATTTTTTAAGTTTTAAGATGAGCAGTAGTAACACATTACTTTAAAAAAAAATTAGAATTCTTTTTTCACCCATTCAATATTTACATGTAAAAGCTGCCTAACGATTCCCTTACCCGCCCCCCCCCCATGGCTTTTCCACAGCAGTGTGCAAGGGCTGTCCAGAAAGTATCCAGCCACACACTATGAAAATATGAAAAATGGTGGCTGGATACTTTCCAGACAGCACGTGTGCATTCCTAGTTGAGCTCCTACATGACAGATGGACCAGTTATGCCGATTCCTTAATACGGCTTTCTTAGTTCAGAAACTACATGTACAGAACAAGTTAGCTGATTAATGGGGTGTGATATCTCAGAATATACACAGTCATACACTTAGGCTAGCCAAGTGGTCAAAAGTGGATTTCAAAATGTAACATGATATAGTCTTAGAAACTGTTCTTTTTTTTTTTTTTTTTTAAATTTCAGGTTAATGTGAGGGTAGTCTCAGAAACTTCAAAATCAGTTCTTTACCAAAAGAGTAACTTGGGAAAAGCACTTTTTCTCAGAACAGCTTAAATTAACAACTCTGTTCCTATGTATGTTAGGGTAGTGGAATTTAAATTGTGGAGGGTATAACCTAAGAGTATGCAGAGACTTTGCAGGGGTCCTCAAAACAGGGGGCCAGTTCACTGTCCTTTAGACCATTGGAGGGTTGGTCTGTGGGCCCAGGGACGAGTCGGCTGCTAAGCAGGGCAGGCAGTGGTGGCAAAAACACCTGGCGGGCCTGATAAATGTCCTAGGCAGGCTGCATGTGACCCACAGGTCTTAGTTTGAGGATGCCTGCTTTAGGGAGTGTAGTTTTTTTTTCCCCCATAGTTTTTGGCTGGGTCTGGGTTTGAACCCACCACGTCCAGCATATGGGGCTGGCACCCTACTCCTTTGAGCCACAGGCACCACCTGGAGTGTAGTTTTTTACTCCTAAGTAGCTCGGACTACAGGCCCAACACAACGTCCAGCTATTTTTACAGATAAAATCTTGCTGGGGCTCAGCTGGTCTCAAACCTGTGAGCTTAGGCAGGTCTTGAACCTGTGAGCTCAGGCAATCCACCCGCCTCGGTCTCCCAGAGTGCTAGGATTCCCCAGCCTCCACACCTGGCTGAGCTGGGAGTATAGTTTTAAATGAATCAATTTCGAGTCTTAGATTTGCTTGAGATGCTACTTGGAATCAGCAGGCATTTTCTATTCCTATCTCCCATTTCAGAATCACCATTTTCCTTACACAAGAAAGTCTCACCCTAAATCTTAGAAAGTGCATTTCTTAGACAAGTAGAATCTCCAGAGAGGCAAAGGGACAATTCAATAATTTATTTAATCAAGACTTCATAAACTTTGCTCCCCCTATCAATCCAAGAGAGGACTTTCCATTTAAATTTTATATGAGCAAAAACATTTGTAGATTATTACAATGGTCTAATTTTATCATGAGCTCTGAAAAATAAGATTTCTGAGACTTAGACTTTTGGTGAGAAAACAGTTGTGCTCTTCAGTTATCATAGGACATAATTATTTTATTTTGTGTTGAAGTGTTTGAATTTTCTAATGTGTAAAAATAAATGGTGTTGGCCTTAACAACTAGCCACTGGATGACATTTTGAAGAAGTTGCAAATAAATGAATATGGACAAATACATCGTTAAAATTGATCAAGTTTCTCACCTGGAAATGTGCACAACCTGGTGCATTTAGTATTCTTTCATTTTTTTGTATACTGTATCTCCAATGTTCCTGCTAATAATTTGCCATTACCCTGTATAAATGCTTGAATATTACTGGATAAATAGCATGAGGATCTTCTGGAGAACCAGCGTCATTTTTCCTGTACCATTATTTCTAAGGAAATACATTTGTAGATCCTTCCAAAGAGCCAACTTTAGTGTCTCTAAACAATGACTGTGAAATGGCTGGTAGGAAATATTAATGAATGAAAAGCTTAATGTTGCTTTATCTACTCATTGAGCCATTTAATTTTAAAATATTTATATTCGTAAGATAACCATATTTCACAAGGGAAACTTTAGATCTACTTTCTCTTGATAGTATTTGTAATGTAAGCCAGTCTTATTACTGAGAGTGCAAATTGTACAATGTACACATAAAAGGTGTTCATATGATTATACTGAGATAAATACAGTATAATTTAGAACTGTCAAAACTTGTTTTTTTGCTTATTTTTTTTCTGAAGCATTATTGAAACTGTGATCAAAGGCTTGTATGTAATAAACATATCTAAAAATAGTTAACACAGATCAAGTGAATATTACATTCCATTTCTAATTCATTTTGGCCTTAGAAAGAAATGTACAACTAAAGAGCATAGCTGCAAATTTAGGGTTTTAAAGTACAAAAAGACAAAAACTCCTAAATTTACTTTATCAGTCTGCTTAAGGATCCAATTGATAAAATTACATATTTATAAACTTGCTATAAATCAACAAAATCTAATGCTGTCTTTTTTAATGCTAGTGATAAGCCTAACATTTCTCACCTAGATATCTAAAGCATATAATTTTTTTATTGTTAAAGCTTATAATTTCTAGAACAAAATAGTCCTTTATGGTGTACTACTTATTTTTTTTTTTTTGGTTTGCATTGTCTTTGATATAATAAAAAGTTATTATCTTTACATATTATTGTTGTGCCTGTTTTTCTGGTGACTTATTTTGTCTATTAAGCTTATTTCCTTCAATTATACTGAATTAACAATTATTTTGAAAGTATAGTAGTTTCTTGTCAAAGGACGGAATGCTAAGACTCTTCCTATAATTTAATCTCATACTAAAATGTAAAATGTAAGTTCAGGTTAAATAGAAATGATTCAGTCAAGTATGTGGTGGGAGAGGGAATAATATAAAATTATCTTAATGGAGATGAAATGATAATGAACTTTACATTAATATGAGCTTCTGAAAAGCAAATGTAACCTACAGATAAAATTAAAATATAAACTTAAAAGAAACAAAAAATAAATACACCAAAGCACACATCATGGAAACACTGTTACTTAAAATTAAAAAAAAAAAACTTTTATGTTTCTTTTCAACATTTTTTGGAAGAGCATGACATAGAGCTCTACAGCATTATTTTCTAAACTTATTTGAGCACAGAAGTAGTAATACATAATAACGTACCACAGGAAATGGTGTAGAAGGAATAAATGAGGGCTTATTTGCAAGGAGGGGGAAAGTATTGTATGTATTTAAGAAAGTGATGAGTTTTCAAGAGAAGACAATCAGCAGCTAGCTTTAACTAATCACACCCTCACCAATTAATTGGAAACTCCTGGCTTAGATAATAATTTGTTTCATGAGTCCAGCATTGGGAGACTATGAGCAGGGAGTCACAGTTTAGTACTGAAAGAGAGAAACTATTCAAATTATTTGAATGGGATAAAGGTTAAGTTTGGAAAGACTTCTGAAAGACTTCCTCAGGATGACCTGATTTATATCATTTGCCCTAGGCACATTCAGCCTCAAGAGAGGGTAATATGTTACCTCTCTCTTACAACATATTATTTGCATCATGCAACATATTATTAAGAAAATGGCCTGGGGAGCAGAGCTAGATGGAACAGATCTTGCTTGGGTGGGGGAGCCATTGTAAAGACATTTTAAGATTGAGGGAAGATCTGATTTTATTTTATTTTATTTTATTTTTATTTTATTTTATTTTTTTTGAGACAGACCCTCAAGCTGTCCCCCTGGGTAGAGTGCCGTTGCATCACAGCTCACAGCAACCTCCAACT